CATCTTGACATGCACTCGTATTTATGTTCTTCTGTCTTTCGGTTACAGCTGTTTCACTCCTATCCTCCAGCTGTATCAGGTATTCCTCCCATGATTCCTCCAACCGGCCCCTTTGGCTCGCTGCAAGGAGCATTTCAACCCAAGGTAAGAGGCGCTCGGATGCCCTGGTGCTGTGAGCCACGTTAGCTCTGGGGTTAGCGTGTGGTTTGGGTTCTGGAGCACTTGAGATCTGAGTTAAGCCGGATTCCATGGAGGACAATTGGCTTTTTCCAAATTCACTACAAAGAGAAGTTATTTCTCGTTAGGTTCAGATACATCTACATACTTTTTAAAAAAAAAATATATAGAATGCCATAGTTAACTTTAGAAGCGATGTATTTAGTTCTTGGGTAGTATGCATTGATGTAAGGTCATGTGATAATCAAAAATGTAAGAAATCATGATCCTTACTGTTTACTCAGTTCCATAATTACCTCACAGCTCCACCACTGTGCGATACACTGATTTGGTTCTCCTCTCGTAGGTGATAGCTAGGATAGATAAATGTGGTGAGTTTGAGGGGTTTTGTCTTTTGTTTCCATGAAGTCACCCTTGATTTATAAGTGGGAGGAAATCATATTCTGTAGTCTGTAGTCTTTGCAGCTAAAGACTGAAATCAGGGCTGAAATTTCTGCAGAGACGACACCTTTCTTAAATTGGCCCATCCACTGTAATGACTGAATATGTAAATTGCAGTTCATTAGTGGAATTCTTCATATGTGTGGTAATCAGACTGTTAACAGCTCTGTTATTTAATTGTTAGTTGTACTGTAGCTTATTTCTTTTTTCTGCATCTTAACGTAGGAAGGAGCTCTGCCTAAATGTAGGGGTTTTGTTTGTTGGTTTGGTTTTTTTCCACAGAGCTGCGTTTTGTTATATTAGCTGAATACTTACATTCAAATCATGGGAAAAGCTTTAATTTTTTTCAACTGGATGATGCTTTTTCCTGATACCCATATGGTAACAGTTCATTGTGGATGGAGTTCAGATCCTTGTACAGTGACTGAAGAGATTACTGATGCTTTGTGTGCCGACAGCAGTTTTAGCCAGTTCCAGTGCATTATTGATAAGCAGCAGAGCCCAAGCTTCGTCCTCCAAATACTACTTGAGATGCCGTATCATAAGTACGTTGCTAATCAGGTTTTTGATAGTGGAAACATTTTCCAGAGTAAACAGTCCCTGTTCCCTCATGTGTATTGTGTTAAAGTAATGGGAAGTTTGTGGACAATGAAAGTTTGAAAATTGAGATGATAATACATGTATTATTGAGTCAATTATAGTGGTTATCCTTTCCTCTTTAAAAAGTTTATCTTCATTGCGTAGGCAATGTGAATCGTAAAGAAGTACTGGTTTTCACTTTCTGTGGCTTTTATGCATTGTTTAATTACTCATTAATGCTGTCTTTCCTTGTGGTATTTCTAGACTTCCAACCCTATTGATGTTGCAGCCAGACCTGGGACTGTGCCACATACCCTTCTACAGAAAGATCCACGGGTCTGTAGAAAATGTTGTCTGTTTCTCAAGTAAAGCTGTTCCTCCTGAAAACCTCAAATGCTAGAGCTACCATCTTCCATGTGTCCAAATTGACATCCTAGAAGTAAAGCTTGGTCTGAGCTGTTTAAGTCAATGGGAACTAGAGAAATTGTGTGGGAACAATTTAAATCCTGATCCTTACTGTGGTTCATCGTCAGCAAGAGCAAACAGATGCTAAGCAACGGAAGAGCTCTTTCCTTGCTGTGGGCACCCGCACAAGCCCGGGGTAAAGGCAATAAAAGTCCAATTCAACGGAGAAATGTACAAACCTCTTCAAGATTTATGTTCAAACTCTGTAATTGTTTTTAATGTGGGTAATGACAGTTATTCCCTTGGTTACTGTATCATTGATTGCACCAGTGAAATACGGATGCACTTTATTGATCACTTGGCGCCTCTGGATTTTTGAGTTCTAGCGTATGTGAACAGCATTTATTGTCTCAGCACTTTGTCTCAGCCTGTCTCTGTTCTGTGCGAATGCCCAGGGGTTGTTTGCATGTTTGAATTAATGGACGTTGTTTGCAGTGAAGAGCATCATGCAGTCATGTGTTTAGCAGAACTCCCTGACAAAAGCAATGGGAAGCTTTCCTTAAAAATCCATGCTATGCTACAGCTAAAATTTTAATTACAGCAGAGCTGTTCTCTTTGGGTTATGCTGAGTTCCAGTACTTTGGTTTGCTCTGAATTGGTGCTGTAGTTGAGCTGCATACCAAAAGGAACCGTGGTTTTTCATTCCTGTTTATTCCATCTAATTGAAAAGATAACTAGAGCCTGCCATCATTAAGCCATTTAGCTTTATGCTCCCTTTCAACTTGTAGTGTAGTTTTGATTATTTCGGGATGATGTATTGTGCCATCACTGCATCTGCAAGGTACCTCTTACACCTATAAATCTCCTTTAGTATTGCATTTCAAAAAAGAAAATCCAAAACAAATTAGAAGTACCCAATAAATGGAATTTCTTTTCCGGCATTAACTGATGAAATGTGAGCAAAAAAGGAGAATAAGAAAATAATCTACCCAATAAAAACCAGGCCACACAAAAAAAAAAAAAAAAAAAAAAAGGAAAAATTTGGGGTTTGTACACCCCTTGTTTACCAACATCTGTCGCAGTGTGAAAAATATTTAAGGCAGAGCCCATTTGTGACGGAGAGCACATCAGGCAAGCAGTCAGTCAGTAATGGCTGTTTGAATGTACAAGTCAGGGGCCTAATGCCGCAGCCGCTCAGCAGACACAGTCACTGGTTTGCGGGGGCACATCTGAAACACCATTCCAGCCCGTTCCAACCCAGTTCGTGGGATCAAGCCTGTGGCGAGGGGGCCCTGTCCGCTATCCAGGCTTGTCGTGAGCTGAACAGCTTTGAAAGATGAGAACAGAAGTTTGCCCAAAGGATAGAGCTGTGTTTTTCTTCAGCGTAGTTAACCAGCCATTTTTGTAGCATTAAATCAACAAATTAATGATGATGCCAGAGGACAGAGCGCTCTGTGTGAGGCTTGTTTAGTTGCTTGTCAACACTTAGGTACAACAGCCATGGGGGGAGGGAGACCAGCTCAAATATGGAGGCTCAGGACTAATTACTATCTGAAAGGGCTTCATTTGAAAGTAAAATTATAACATTTTAATTTCATCTCTTAATGAAGCAATACAAATTTGTTAATTAGAGCAATTGTTTGAGTGACAGGCATGTAACCAAGCTGTCATTTCTTTTTCACAGTTGACAGATCCGTTCAGGCCCATGTTGAGGGTAAGAAATCTTCTTGTGATACAGTTTGTCAAGCTTGTCTCGGTCCCCACCGCGGCAGGGCAGCATGCTGGTTATAAAGCGGGGCCGTGTTTCGTCCGGGGGCTTTTGCACCGTGTTTGCTGCGCAGCACGGTCAGTCCTTCCTGGCCTGCGTCTGGTGGTCACTCAAGGAAGATACGCAGTTTCAAAGCTGGAAGTTTTCTTTTGTTCTTGTGCAACTCCCTAGCATGGATACTAAGGGTTAAGTACTGGTGATCCTTCTAGCAGGCTGGCTTACAAGGCTTCCTGAGCCACATCCTTCAGACCTACCCTGGCTGTGATCCCCTGTCATTTCACTGCAGACTGAAGGACTTTTCTTTTTATTATTTACTGTGTGTTTTCAGTGTCAATCAGTAGGGTACTTCCTACCCAAGTATCTTAACTGTCAAGTAGACAGACAATCCATTTTGAACACAAAATATTTTAGGAATAAGGATCAAAAGATCCAGTCTTTTCCGTGACCCAAAAGGGGATTTTTTTGCTAATTTTTTCAGTGTGCTCAAGAAGGTCTAGATTTTGATCAAACCAATGAAGTGGACTTATTAAACCACCAGCACAGCCAGTTGCTGTGAATAAGCAAAAAGATTGAGTTTAGGGGAGTATGTGTGCGAGATTTGTGGTTTTAATTGTTGATTGATCTACACCTAGAAATAGAAGGCAGACTGTATGCCATAGTTAGTGAAACATTTAAGTTATCAGTAGCTCGAGGAGCTTCTTGAATTCCTATGACTTTTTTTAAATCTGCAGGAATCATTAGTTGTGTGGTTAACTACAGACCCCTAAATAACAAAGCTGGATAAAGTATATCCTGAATGAGTCTTCTTCCGACAAGATTTCCGGATGTGCTGGAAATGGAATACACAATCAACAAGAAAACCCAAATAGCACTCTGGTTCTTTCCTTCCTCTCTCCTCCCCGTGACTTAAAGCGTGGTGTCAGGAAGGGTGCAAAGAGGCTTCCCAAAGAGAGTGAATTGACAGACCTCCAATTTTTTCAGTATATTTATGAGCCAAAGTTTTGGAGGTACAGACCAGCAATTACATGAGGGAGTCAGATTCATTTTGAAAACCAGAGTGCTCTTTTAAAGTGCTTCCATTTTCATCTTTTTGTGGAAAGGCTTGTCTTAGAATAGCTGCCTTTTCAGAAATGGGCTCAGTGTACAGTTGTGAAGCAGTCCAGCTATGCAGAGCCGCTGCGAACCGGAAGACAGTTTCATTGATTTCAGCAGACAAGCTGCATTCTCAGCCAGTAGCATCAGAGGATTACAAGAGTGCGTAAAACACAAGCCTGAGTTTCTTTGCAGAGGAGGGTGACCAGGAGCATTCCTGGTTTCCCAAGAGGACAGAGAGGGAAGGCGCTGAAGGGAGACCCTTTGCTTTCAGTTGTCTTGGTGTAGGGAGTCCCCTAGACCAAAACAAACGGCTAAGAGTTGGGAAGAGTTGCTAGAACTAGAATAAAGCATCACAGGTTTTTGAAAGTTACTGATTCATGTTGTATCCCTTTGTTTTTTCCAGAAACCTGGAAAGTGGTGTGCTATGCATGTTCACATCGCCTGGCAGATATACCATCACCAACAGAAAGTCAAGGTCAGTCTTTGGGCACGCCTGAATTTGAGATGGGTTGCACAGTGCAAACCTGTGAGAGGAAGAGTCTGCCTCTCGCTGTTAGCAGGTCTATGCCATGGCTAATGCCTTGTTAAAATAACTATATGTAGCATTATAGCATCACCTTCCGTTTCATAGTGGTGGCATATCGGAATTAAAAACCTAAAAGTAGAGTCTCAAAGGAATGTCTGTGATGCCTCGGAGCAAGGACACCAGGTCTTGGGCAATAACACCCGGGTTGTAGCTAGGAAGAGCTAAATGGGTGTGCCTGCGAGCTACAACATTGCTTTTAGTTATGGCTGAGGACACAAACACATCAAGATTAATTTTTTTTAAGACTGGAGAAGAAGCTGGGCACGTGTATCCCATTCCTCTTACTAATGTTCATGGCCAGAAGAGGGCACAGGAAGATTTCTTTTGTCCCTAAGATGCTGTATCCGATGTGGCTGCAGAGGCTCCCATCAGCCTTTTTTCACAACCCACCTCATAGCTGGAGGTTGGCACCTGTGTGTGTCAGGCAGGCCCAGCCTCTCAGCTGAAGTGGTGTTATCCAGACACTGTCTCGTTGCACCACCGGTGAAGGGGTGGAAGTGTTTCTTTGTTACATGCCTTGAGACTTCAAGGGTAAGGGCTAGGGCCAGTTTAGGCTCGCCTGAATCAAACGTCAGGGAAAAACAAGTAATTTATTCATTTAATAGTTAGGGTATTTCTTTTCTTACTTGAACTGTGTTTTCATTGCCTGTTGACTCAGTGAAGAAGGTTTCTTTCCCTTTATAATGTTTTCACTGTACTTGTCACTGAAAAATTCTGCGTTGCTCCTGAAGTTTTCCAGTAAGTCAGGAAAGGTTGGTGGTGTTCACTGTTCTTCAGGAGTCAATAGCTTGCGTTAGAAAGTAAAACTGACAAGAGTCCATAGCACTTTGCAGTCTGTGTATGCAATTGAATCGTATAAGGTGGTGCTACAAGAATAGGAAGATGTTGAACAGCTACTAAAACCCGCAGCTAATAGAGTTTAAAAATAACCCTTTTAAACAAGGTTGACAGGTTAATTTGCTGCAGCAGACATATCTCTCTTCTCTGCTTCCTTATGTTTCCCCTGCTAGTGATCTTCATTCATCTTCCTATTATCTAAAAAGACAAGATTATAGACCTAGAGAGTTATATGTCTTTTTTTTATTTTATTGAAAAGGTATTTTCTTGAAATGAAATTATTATTCCCATGCTATCTATGTCCTTTGAATCTTCCTTGATTTGATATTCAGAGAGAGGTCATACTGGTGTATTTATAACTCATAGTAAATGCCATTTTCATGCAGCCATTTCTTCTACCTAATACTTTTCTATCTTGCATGTTAAAAAACAGGAATAAAGCCCAAAAGTACAGGAAATTATGTTCCTTTTTGAGGCTGTGCATGATGATAATTTCAAGAATATTTGTGAAATGTATTTCACTATCTCAGTTCAGTCAAAAAATTAGCTGTGGTCTGTAGTCAGTAAGGCAGGTTGGTTTATGTCGCCATGGGCTGTCATACTCCCCATGAGAACGAAGCCCTCCCCTCTGCGTGCGGCCACCAAGTGTGAACCTCTGGCTGAAGGCACATACGGAACGATGTCTCCTTCCAGCCTGAGGCTGTGCAGGTGCCTTTTCTTCTGCAGAAGCTGAAGGCGCTGCCTGACCGTAGAGCAGGGAATGAAAATGCACTTACTCGGAGATTTCAGGTTTGCACGCAGTGCCACCGGACTGCTGGCAAAGTGCAGAAGAGTGGGTAACTGTCTGGGCTGCTCGTAATTGCTTGCAGAGGGCAACAGCAGACCCTGAAGAAGCAGGCACGATAGGAAACGTTAAAACACAACCTTCCTGACCCCAGGAAAAATTGGATGCAGCTGTGGATGCTGTTTGCCTGCCTACACCTCTGCAGTAAGACCTGTGTGACCTGTCTGCACACCCAGGGAATTCCTCAGATGAAGCCAGGATTGCACACCGGCTCTGGGCACAAAGCAATTTTTCACTCCTCCTTAGACTGACCAGTGCGTTACAGGCTTGGATTCAAGAGAGAATTTATGCTCCGTGATTGGCTCTCTCTCTTTTAGGAAAGGTCTTACGGCCTGATCTAACATGCCGTGAAATTACTGCAGACATTTCCATTGATTTTAGTGGGCTCTGAGTTACACATTCGCTGGACTTCAAATACATTTGTAAGGATTATCAGCAAGAGGGGTGCTCTCCTGAACAGCAGCTGGGGATAAAATAAATCTGATCAGTTTCCTTTGGTACTGTTTTAAGGTAAACCAACACATTCAAAAATCTTTTAACACATCCATGATACTCCTGTTCCTCTTCAGACAGGTCATTTTTTCATTATGTAGAACAGCACCGTTCATACGGCTGCAATTAAAGGTTCAGCCAGCTTTTGCTGTTCTGAGTAATGCTTGTCAGAGGTTTATGACTTGGTTGTTAAAAAGAGGAATAAAAAGAGTTCACAGCATAAAAATCTGGCACACGGGCTTCAGCTGAGGCATTTGTATTTTCTGAACTTGTTTTAATTATTAAAGCACTACAGTGTTACTTTTTGTAAAAGACATGACCTTGACTTGGTCATCTTTTCCATTTCCCCATTCTTGCAGGCCATTATCTCAAAACATTGATACAGCCTTTTTTTGCCTTTTTTCTTTTTTTTCTTTTTTTTTGTTGTCATAGCTACATAGAAACATTATTAGTACTTGAAAAACAGCTACTAGGCATGCACGTTAACTTGGTCATAACTTTTTAATATGCATATTTATATCACTGTGATAGTCTGTACTCTGAGCTGGTACAGTATTGAATACTGATTTATAAAGCGTAACATGCTCCAGAATTACTGTTAAGATCTACTGGTTCAGTGTTACACATTTGTAAATCCTTTCAGCTGACCTGCACAATTAATCAGCAATCTGTGTTTAGGGAGTTCTGGCAGCACAGGTGATTGGGAATTTGGTTTTCCTCTTTGTTCTATAAAATCATTGAAGTAGGACCACTAAAAGGAGTACATGGCACAAAGATGAGCCCATCCTTCATCCATTTATCATTTACAATACAATTATCTCAGCAAATTTACCTTAAAAAAGCCTGCTACGATTCTAATACCACGTGAATAAAGACAGCAGCATACATTGCTCTGAATTTGCAGTGCAAGCAGTCAAAATGGGGCTTCATCGGTTCTTTAGAATATGCTTCATCTGTAATTTGATTCATTTTAGCTTGCTCAGTTGCAGTCTGAGAGGCACTGAAAGACAGTCTGCATCCAGTGTTTCTGGATTGCAGCTTCACATTTAAAATTAATGGTTCTGGTGTCCATTGACTTGTCTCTGCTGTAACTATCTGGCAAGGGATGTGTGCGGTGGGATGAGGTTCAGCTGGCAGCTGTGCCTGTTACAGTTGATGCTTTCACCCAGCTTTTAACACGCCTGCCCACCTGGGATCAGGTCCAACCTAACATTTCTCTTTGGCTTTTTTTTTATTATTTTAAGACAGACCTATTCTTACAGCTAAGCAAGTGTCCGAGGCCTCTTCAAAGATTTTTGTTTGTTCTTTAAGTCAGGTCTGTGCTGAAATGCTTTGCTGCAGAGGGATGGATGTGAGCATATGTGGGAACACTGTTGAAATTTGCAGGAAATGTGCTTTGAGAGCCTGAGATTTTCCCTCTGCCTCCAGGAAGCCAGCCATGCACCTATGCTCAGGGTCCCCAAAACTAATATTCTTGTTAAAATATCGGTTGGTATGAATAAATTGCTATACCCACGTCACTCTGAAGGTGCCTTTTGCACTGAAAGAGTCTCTCCCAAATCCTGTTTTTGCATTTCAGAAACAGATGCAGTCTGATCCGCACAAGCTGGACTTTGGCCTGAAACCTGAATTTCTGAGCAGGCCGCCAGGCCCCAGCCTTTTTGGAGCCATCCACCACCCCCATGACCTGGCCCGGCCCTCGACTCTCTTCTCCACAGCCAGTGAGTACTGAGAAGTGAAATCGCCTTCTTGTGGCATGCTCGTTAAAACGTTAATCCTTGCCGTGTTAAAAGGAAATTTCCCGTGTGCTTTGGCTTATGAACTCTCTGCAAGACGTGCCAGGGGCTACTAGTCTATTTGATAAATATTTTAAAGTTATTCTATATGCTTTTAAAAAAGCCCAACCTGCTTAAATGCCACACAGGTAGTAAATGGAGGAGTATTTCTTCACACAGTGATGTCCGGTGCATCATGGAGATGATGTGTTGGAAATAAAGCTGTATTTTACGTGCTCTTTTTCCTGTACTGAAACTTTCCTCCCCAGCCCCTTAGACTCTGACTGGGAATTTCTGTTGAGAAAAGCAGCAGCTATTTGCATGGGATCCTAACCTGAGAGCCCCCACCCCAGTGTACAGCAATCTCTGCTCACGTGAGCTGCCATTTAAGAAATGACAGTCGAGCCTAGAGCACAGTGAGTCCCTTCCTGAGCTTTTGCTAGGAATTCACCCCTTTTGCTTTGTTTTGGCAGGTGGGGGTCATCCAGCCGGCACCCCTTTCGGCCCACCACCTCACCACAGCAACTTTCTCAACCCAGCTGCTCACTTAGGTACGTTCTCTCTGCAAGTAACGGTGAATACAACTCAGAAGTAACACACACTGACCATTGAGACCATTGAAGGTTTCCCACGTGAAGACTCTTTGAGTGTCCTGCCTGCTTAACCTTTACAAATTGCACGTTTTAGCCATTTAATTGTAGCCACTACCCAGGTGGCAGTTCTAAACACACATGATAGTATCACTGACAGCATGTTTCGAAATACTTCTGAAAACGGTCTGGACAGTAGAGGAGCAGATTGAGAGGGCTGGTTAGGTTTCAACATAGTCATGTTTATGGCCAGTCAAAAAAAATGCCTTAACATTAAAGCTTTGGTTCATGGAGATGTTTCTTTTCCTAACTCTGAATTAGATGTTTGCTTTTCCATTTAAGTGAGTGCAAAAGATGTCCTTAAAATCGTGTGATCTGGCCTCAAATTTGTCTGTTAGTGAGCGTTGATGGATACACACTTAAAAATGGAACCACCCAGGTTATCAAATGTTGTTATTTCCCTTCTAACTTTCTGATGTTGTAATAAGGTGGTCTGCTGCCTACAGGAGCATCCGAGATCAAGACTCTTAAGTTGGTGTTGTGTTTTGCATAGGGAAGGGTTTGGGAGGGTCACTGAATTGATACAGCAGACTCGCAATGTGGGTTTGACACTCTGCACGTAGCTGCCTGTAGAAAATGCTAGGTTTGGTCTTCTCTTTCTCTGTGCTGGTGTTTGTCAGAAGTAGTTTCATCAGAATTGTTGGACTTCTCCAACAGAAACCGAGAAGTGAACTTGCTTCATATGACTTACCTATACCCTGTATGTGTTAGCTACTATGCATTAACTAAAAAGAATTATTCCAGGATTTTTCAGTCCATACTAGTTTTTCATACAGTATTAGTAATAAATATCAAGAGAATTACAAAATGTTCAGGTCAGCATGACATATCAGTATAATAGGACATTTTATTTATATCCTGGCTGTGGTTTAGGAGACATGGCCTGAAGGTGTTCACAGCGCATTTGCCAGAGTTAATAATAGTCTCGCTAGCCAGGGACATTTCCTGAGAAGGGTCTTGTTTTTCCTTGAAGAGGAAGTTTTTCTAGTTAGACAATCCCATGCATAGTCACTGGAAAAAAAAAAAAAAAGTTTTGTTTCTGTCCCACTCGCTCACAGTCACTGCTGGGTTGTGGGAGGATGGTGTTCAGCTGCGATGGGCACAGACTGAGCCTTCAGGCAGACGTAATGCGGCTGGATAAGACACTAACGCTTCATCGTCATTGCCGAGGTGCCAGTGAGCTTCAGCTCTTTCTGTTGGTTTGCAGAGCCCTTCAACCGACCGGCTTCCTTCAGCGGCCTCACGGCAGTGGGTAGCAACGCCTTTGGGGGACTTGGGAACCCGGCAGTTAGTGAGTAACCTCTTTGTTTATGAATTCTTGTTTGCCATGTAATTCAGGATATTGAGTGATGGTGACTGTTTGATGTCTTTTTTACCAGTTGCTTAGACCACATACCACTAAGAGATGGGAATTTGAAAAGCGACCTTTTTCTTCTAAATAACGGCATTTTTTAGTCATCAGTAAATTACTTCCTATTAGTTACTTATTATTTGGGTTCAACATAGTGCTAAATGTCACCATTACATTGTTCAGTTAAAAAAAAGAATATAGAACCTATCAGTCTAAGGAGTTTGTGAAACTTCTTACAGTTTTGTTGCATGTTCAAAAATAGCTAATGTGTGCAGCATCCCTAGCTGTGGATGGGGACATTTTTTTTTCCTTTCTCACCAGTAATCCGGGATGTGTGCCTGAAAAAGATCACTAACTTGCATTTATTTGTCCAGGATCATCAACATTTCTCTAGATTTGGCCAGTCACAAAAGATCATCCTTTTAAAAACCACTCTCTTTCTCCATACTTCAAATCTGGCATGATTTTGGTCACATACTATTTTGCTTTGGTTCAGGATCAAATGCTACAAGTTCCATTATTTATAGTCCGTATAATGGTCATTTCCTGATGTCTCCAAAATATTTGGAATGAGGATCATTGTCACTTTTATCTTACTACGTCATCCCTTGTCAATTTTATCCACAGCATTTCCCTTTCCACTTAAAACAGCTGTCAGATGCCTGCCCATTTTTAGGAATGAGACCCTCTAATGAATCTCTGTTAATTTCCTTTCCTTTTCCAGCTCCCAATAATATGTATTCATTTTAACTCTGAGTGCTGTAAAAGTTTTTTTGGTAAGTACCTTCACTAGAGCATACCTTTTTCTTAAACCTTTTTGTTTTCCACTTCACCATTTCAGCACCCAACTCAATGTTCGGCCACAAGGATGGCCCCAGTATGCAGAGCTTTAGCAACCCTCACGAGCCCTGGAACCGACTGCACCGAACTCCTCCTTCGTTCCCGACCCCTCCGCCCTGGCTGAAGCCAGGAGAGCTGGAGCGCAGTTCATCTGCTGCAGCTCATGACAGAGATAGAGATGTAGATAAACGAGACTCATCTGTTAGTAAAGATGACAAAGAAAGGTACGAAAGAACACTTCCAAGAATTGTCTAGTTCAAAGCTTGGGGCTCTGTTCCGCTTTTAACCCTTCCCAGCCTGGCACATTGTTAAACCAGAGCTTCAGCAGAGGGACACCTGGAGAGCTGACACCATTGCTGCCTACGATGCGAGGCGCTACGGAAGGTACAGGTTTCTGCCTCAGGTGTTTCTTACTGCATCTGTTTCTCTTCTCACTTGCACCGCACTTCATCAGAAGGAGCTCTGCTGGAGCAGAGTTCAGGCAGTGTCACGTGAGAACAGAATCAGACCCACACGCTCTGTTACCTGGTGGGTCACATTGTCATAGGTCTTTTGAAGACTGAATGTGTAAATAGGTGCCTGACAGGATGAAAAAAAGGTTTACAAAGTCCGTCAGACACATATCTGCACATCCAAATACTTAAATAACTTTGTAAATTGGACCTTGTCTACAAAACAAACAACACTGCCTCCCTCTTCAACAATGGACTGACCAGAGGGACCACTGATAAAGTTGTAAAATGCACTGGGTATGTCATGTCCCGATACCGCAGTAAGTGTCAGTGCATGCAGTTTGTTAAATGAACCTTAATTCCCTTCAAAAATCCACACACGCATGCACTGCTGT